GGCTGGAGATCACTCAAAATTACCACTGTTCTTTAGGTAGCAGAGATTAGTTCCTCTGGAGAAAATGGTGGACTCAGTGTCATTATACCCTGCTTAGGTCGCCGCAGCAAATTGACACTGAGTGTCCAAGGCCTGGGCACCCACTCAAAGCCTCTTTCTAGAGCTCGTTGTATTTATTTCCACAACAGGACTTTTTCCTAGTCATACAGTTGGAAGCAACCTCTAGGGTCATCTAGTCCAACCACCTGCACAATGAAGGAAATTCACAACTACCTCCCCCACCACACTACTAGTGACCCATGATCCATGCCCAGAAGATGACAAAAAACCTCCAGGATCTCCAGCCTATCTTAACCTGGAGAAAAATTGCTTCCTGACCATTAAGTGGTGATCGGTATTTCCCTGGGCATGTAAGAAAGGCCATGAGAACAAAGCACTGATGCAACCCATCCTGCCCTCCCTCTTATGATCTGCCTAACTTCACAGAATCAGCATTGCTGTCCGATGGCCATCTAGCCTCTGCTTAAAAACCTCCAAAGAAGGAGAGTGAATACATACCCTGTGTACAAGTACTGCTCAAAGCACAACAGTGCAAGTAGGGACAGCAGTAGTTTAGATATTTATAGCCTTCCTTTCTCCCCACTAGGTACCCAGAGTGGCTTATAACACTGTCTTCCCCTGCAGCATTTTATTTTTATGGCAACCCCATTAGGTAGGTTAAGCTGAGGGACCAAGAGAGTGACTGGCCTAGACAAACTTCCATGGAGTGGGGATTTGAACCCGAGTCTCCCAGTTCCTCTAACCACTAGCATCACACTGGCTTTCAGTATCCCAGCCACTTAATATGATTCCTGTGCAGACTGGGAAGCAAGGTAAGACATGTGAACTGAAAAGCACATTTTGCACTTACTGGGGTCATTCTGAAACAGTGGGTTATGGCCATTCGTGCTAAGTGTTTTGAGTTAAGGTGCCCGTGGCCCGCCCACCCCCCCCCCCCCCCCCCCCCAGGCTGCGGTGCTTGGAGCATCCGTAGCCCACCCACCCCGCCCTGAGAGAAAGCCCCCACCAGCCAGGCCGTGGCGCTCGGAGCGCCCGAGGCAGCCAGGGGCGGGGCAGGGAGGAAGCTGGGGATGGGGCGGAGAGGAAGTCAACTTACCATCCTTCTTCTGCCTCCTCCTAGGCCCAAATGAGGGCGGCTGGAAGCAGGGGGCGGGGCTTCATCATGTGCCCGCCCCCGGCGCCTCACTCCCGGAGCGCTGCTCCAGGGCGCTCCGGCCCCATCCAAGGCTTGCCTGTAGGGATGGGCACAAAATGGCCAGCTTGTGGTTCGCAGAAATTGGAGGGCATGTAGAGGAGCATCCAGGGGAGGTCCTGTGACTTTGATGTCTCTAGCTATCAGGATCCGTTCTATGTACTTATTTTGACAAGTACGGGTTCAGGAGTGTATAGAATGGATCCTGTGCAAGCTAGAGACACCAAACTCGCAGGAGATATCCAGCTGACTCTAATCTACCTGCCCTCCAAGGTTACTGAGCACTGGATTTATGGGGTCTGATTTACAGCCCTCCAAAGAAGGTGCCCCCAGGAAAGTGCCGGGGCCATTCTAGCGAACCATGAACCTCACAAACCTCCCCAGGCTATTTGGCCCCTAAAAAGTTTGTGATAGTTCATGGTTTGTGAACCGGGCACACCACAAAACACAGTCTGAACTGCATTTTCCCAGTTTATGCCCATCCCTAGATACCTGCCCCCTAAGGGACGATCAACCCATTGTTTGGACATCTGGCAGTCAGCACTGTTCACTAAATGAAAAGACGATTTAACCACATTTGGAATCACTAAACTGACTCTTCCATTTTCAATCGCCATTCCCTGCTGAGCTCAAAAAAACCAGCACCGATAAGACAAGTGGAACTTTACCCATGGAATAGATGACCCTGGAGTTCCCTTCCAACTCTATGATTCTATATGAGCAACAAAAAGTGAAAAATTAAAACCTATGATGCTTGACACTTACATTTAAAATTATATTGCTTTTAATTTTAAAAAGATGATATTGCTTTTGAACCTTTTTAAATATTTAGCAATATGTTTATTTAAGCACCATTTTATGTGAATAAATCACAGTTCACAGCACAGTATCTATAGCAGCATTCTTTGTCCTATGCACAGTGTACAGCCCTGCAGATATGCTGGATAGCAGCATAAAGCACAGTAAAAATTCAGCACTAAGTATGCAAGTAGGTTCTAGATGTTAGATCTATAACTTCTGGAATGCAAAGTTTTTGCTTACAATGAATTAGGCAGGATTTAAGCCAACCATAGCCCACTATGGAATAAACTTGCCCTCAAATCTCTTTACAGTTTTTGCCTTGCTTTTATTGGGGTATTTATTTATTTATGATATTTCTATGCCACCTTCTCAAAGTCTTGCTCAAGGTGGCTTACAAAATAAAAACAGAGGCAGGCCATTAAAAAGCTGATAAGATAAAGCCCCTAACTAAAAACCAGAGCAAAACCTGGCATCTGAAAGAAAATAAAGTAGGTGCCAGGTGAGCTTCAAGGGGGAGGTTGTTCCAGAGACAAGGTGGCACCATAGGAGATGTCCTGTCTCTAGACGCCAACCTCTGAAGATCATAGAGCACAGAGCTTGACAGAGCTTAATTGGTAGGCTTGATAGTATGGAAGGAGACACCCTCTGGTACCTTGGCCTCAAGATAACTGTGCTTTGTTCTAATCCCCACATGATGTAATACTAAGAGTACAGGATAGATTTAATATTTTCTCTATGGTGCTGTGGTTAGAATGCCAGACTAGGATCTAGGGGACCCCACTCTGCCAAGCTTGGGCCAGTCACACAGTCTCAGCCCAATCTATATCACAAGTTGTTGGATGGGTAAAACAGAGGAGAAAAGGATAATGTCTATTTGGACCCAAAGCCTCAGCGGAGACTTTCTCCAGTGGGGAAAATATAAATGAAGGAAATAAATAAATTTGTAGTTTTATATCTTCCCATGGGACCGACTACACAAACACTATTTCTGACAACAGAAGTAGGTGAATTCAACATAATGAAAATGGATTGTAGTTAATGAACAAAGATGGTTGATTAAGGCTAAACCAGGATTTCAGATGGTTGGGTGTAGTAAACTTGCGTTTCAGAATTTATAGTTGGAATATTATGTTTCCAAAAATATAAGAGATGTGATTAAGGAGACTGACTATAACAGCATTCAAATTACCATGCTGCAAAATACTCTAAACAACTAGAAAGATATACTTTAAAATATCTCCCATTTTCTACATAATGACTATTCAAGGAACACATTTAAAGCTCAATGTTAACGTCACACAGCTGTTTGGGACAACATATGTTTCCAGTCCTGCACTGTATTACCTTAAAGGAATTTTTCTAAACATTGCTGTGTAGGTAGTATAGTACCACATCACCTAAGTCCAACACAGATGCTCATGAGTTGGTGCAAACTTATTTTGTACTTGGGACTGTCCAATAATTCAAAAATTCTGGGACAAAAAAAGATTCTATACACCACTGAGCTAACGGTGCATTACAAAATTCATATTAGTTCAATGTTAGCCTAAATCTCTGCTGTCCAGCGTTACAATCTAAATATGGAATTTCTTAAAAGTTTAACTAAAAATGTTGTTCCCCTCCTTTCAAACTGGCTGATAAAGATACAAAGAACTGCTGGTGGCAAAAAGGTGACCTTTTCCTCACAAAAATACTTCATTTCATTTTACTGCACAACTTTTATTAAATCTGTGATATCATCAACAATGTGAACACAAAGGTATACATACCTTAAGTTTTTTAAGTTTAAAAGTCAATGATTAATGTGGCTTGTCTACAAGCCAATACATCTTTGAACTTTGAACAATGTTCCGTTACTCCTATGTGCAAATCTGACTGCTCTATTTAATCCAACTGATAACTTTTTTTCACCATGAATTTTAACTGGATAACAAATATCAGCAGGTCATAAGGTTGCCTGGTCCCCTCTAACCACGGTGGGGAATAGGGTTACCAGATCCAGGTTAAGAAACTCCTGGAGAATTGGGGACTGAGCCTGGGGAGGACATGGACCTCAGTAGGGTACAATGTCAAGAGTCTACACTCCAAAGCATCCATTTTCTCCAGGGGAACTGACCTCTGTAGTCTGGAGATAAGGTGTGATTCCAGGAGATCCCCAGGTCCCACCTGGAGGCTAGCATCCCTAGCGAGGCCTTAGTGTCCTAAGACCTCCTAGCGTCATGCACAGCTGTAAATAAGTTCACATTTTGTTTTTCAAGGTGAATTCCATTTTTACATAATCAAAGTGATTCAAGAGTTAAAAAATACACTATTATCAATAATGTCATCAAAGCATTCGATTTTTTAGATGGTAGGAATCTAGCTCTTCTTCTCCTTTATTGAAACTTATGGAAAACACTGCAGGCCCACCTCCCAGCACATATTTTGTTCCACTTCTCTTTTTCAACGGATTTTTATTTCGAGAGAGGCATTAAAAATAAGAGCACCAACAGCAGTGCAGAAAATCGATCTGCGCCGCCCCCGCCCCCGCGTGGGGCACACAAACGCTGCAATCGCAAGAACGCTCTTCTGGGAGTAAGTCCCATCGACGAAAACAGGGCTTACACATAAGAAGAACTGCCTAGGGTTCCTCCCTAGATCACCCCGTTCTTCCGCATCCCAAAACTGAGAGAGCTGTCTTTCTCTCAGGCCTCTGCTGCGCCCAGTCCGCGGCTCGGTGAAAGCGACTGGGTCAAAAACGGCGGAGTTTAGGGGCCGAGCCACTACCAGCTGGGGCTTTGGCAAAAAGGGGGCGGAGTAACACGCAACGCCTCGCCTCCTGAGACCCGAGGCCGCTCGAGTAGCCTGCGCGAGGCTGCCCTTCCTCTCCAGCCCGCCCCAAAGGTTGCGCGACGTGTCCCTGGCGAAGATCAGTCCCATTGCTCCCCCGCGCCCCCCCCCCCGGCACCTTGTTGGTCGGAACGGCGCGGAGTCGCTTGAAAATGGCGCTGATGTCCTGCTTGCTAGGCTCGCACATTGTCCTCCCCTTCCTCCGTTGTCCGCCAGCGAGCGCTGCCTTAGCAAGATCCCGGCCACAGAGGAGAAACCCCACTCCGCACAGACGCAGGCAACGGCGGGACCCAGCAGGTGGGCAGACGTGGCCGCACGCATGCGCCCCGAGCGGATCGGTGGAGGGGACGCCCCTGCGGGTTTCCAAGGCGACAGGACTTGTGACGGGAGGCGGGGCCGCTTCCGTGCAGACTGGCAAACCGGCGGCTGTTCACCGGTGCACGCCCAGGCATACATCACTTGAGGAGGCTGCGCTAGGGTGTCACACGTGTGCGGAAGCACTTGGCCACGTCTGCGTTGGCTGAGCCACTGAGCTTTATCTGACTCAAGGTTGCGGCGGCATCGCTGCCCGTCTTTGGAGCAGGGCGGGCGTGGCATGTGCGGATTGCACAGTTTGACATTCTCTCAGAGTGCCGGCTTGGGCAGCTGAGAGAGAAATAGGCGGGGATCAGAGATGGTTGTTTATTCCGCCAGGGCTAAATTCAGGACAATGTTAACTGCAGGGCGGGCTCCTTGTGAATCTGACTGAGAGATGGCTGGGAAAGTTTTCCCCCCTGGTTAAGGCTTTCCTTCCTAGGAGGGGTTGATCCAGGCCGGTAGCTTCATTGAAGCATTCTGGGGCCTGGCCCCCAACCTCCTACCAAGGCCCCACAACTTCCCCACCTGTCAGCAGCCCCACAGGCTCCATCCTGGGCTGGCTGCCGAATGGGCAGAATCAGTTTCGGCCAGCAGAAAGACTCCCGGTGTCACGGCAGTACCAACCAATTGCCAGCCAAATGTCAATTTCGTCTCCATTATATCCTATGGACCATTGAAGTCAATGGCAAAAACATTGGGTATATTCTAGGGGGATGGAGGCGAGGTGGTTTGAGGGAGAGGCTCCAAACTTGCAGGGTAGCTGCTGGAGCCTTTCCTGAAGATACCCACCAAGTTTCAAGAACATTGGACCAGGGGGTCCAATTCTATGGGCACTCAAACTGTTGTTTCTACCTATAACCTTGGAGTAGAAAGGGGTAACATCTACAGGACTCATTGTAATCAAGAATTCCTTGGCTTTTTCAGTATTTTCATTGCCTGGTGGTCATCCTCCTAGATGGAATTCAAATCAAAACTACAAATTAGAGCCAACTTGGAATGGTTGATTAATCTGCCAGCAAAACTTAGTGATATCATCAGTGTAAATGTGCTACCAACTTCAGGGCCAAATAAGAGATGTATTGTTACCTTTGTTACAGCGAAGCTACCTTCAGTTATTCTGGAACATAAGAATTCATTACTAAGATATAATGCATGGGTTACAGGTGTCTTTAATTCTGGAACCATAACCCCTTCATTGAGTGTAAGTAAAGTAAAGGTAAAGGTTTCCTTGCTCGAAAGCCAGTTGAATCCGACTCTAGGGTTGCGGTGCTCATCTCCGTTTCAAAGCCGAAGAGCCAGCGCTGTCCGAAGACATTTCCGTGGTCATGTGGCCGGCATGACTAAACACCAAGGCACACGGAACGCTGTTACCTTCCCACTGAAGTGGTACCTACTTATCTACTTGCAATTTCTTGCTTTCAAACTGCTAGGTTGGCAGGAGCTGGAACTAGAGACGGGAGCTCACTCCGTCATGCGGCACACTCGGGTCTCGAACTGCTGAACTACCGACCTTCCACAGCCTGCAGTTCAGCGTCTTAACCATTTGAGCCACCGCAGCTCCTTTCATTGAGTGTAATGAGTAATAAAGTCACAGATAAACAGGTAAATTGCAAGGGAAATCGCAGTACTCAGATTCCATCAAATATGGATGCAGAGGATAAGAATAGGATGCAATTCCAATCTGATTAAAAAGCAGGGTAAGAGCCTAGTACTGAGTTAATGATGGTCGAGGATATAGTTATTCTGCCTAAACAGACCAAGAATGATGCAGATAGGGCAATTATAATCTCAGACCTTTCTGATCTGGCTAATATTTCTATTCCAATTCAGTCTATTCCAGCTCAAGTTGATGATTTACTTTATCTAATCATTTTGGCCCAGATAACTGCAAGTCTGTACTTTTCTTTTGTTTCCCAGTTAAATTAACTGTTAAGAAGCCAAACATAGTGGTTTATGCTAAGATCCATCAGCCCCATGAGTCCATTGAAATAGACTTGAGAAGGAATTTAGACCAACAAACTGATCAGGGATGGTCACCTTCGTCTTGAATTGTCCTGTAATAACCAAAGCTAGTCATCACCTGGATAGAGCAAGGGGCATGGAGGCAATATGCTATGATTTCTCAGATTTCCACCTTAGACTGACTATCAGGGACTCAGTAGCAGCATTGTTTAAAATGCATTTCTTGGAATGTGACAGGTTGGCTAAATAAAATTCAAGATCCTTTTAAAGTACAATTTATTAAAAGTGATATAATTTGTATTCCGAAATCTGATGTTAAATTTATTTATTTATTTATTTCTTAGATTCATATGCCGCCCTCCTCGCCATGACAGGCTCAGGGCGGCTCACAACATAGGTATAAATATACATTAAAACTCCAATATAAATAACATTAAAATTATAAAACCGTAGTTACACAGCACATGATGTTATCACTGAATGGCCGCCTCCAGGCTCCTGCCAAGCTGTTAAACTTCCAGCTGTCAGTGGTGCTGATGTTAAGGCCAGGTTAATAATGATGTCCTATAGGATGCTCTTGACGCTTCGTCCCAAGTGTATCGCCACTGTTTCTCTAGTCGTCTAAGCTCCCGCTTCATCAACCTCAGCGCCTGTGTATACCACGGGGCAAGTTTTGAGCAGGGACGCAGAGGACGCTGGGGAGCAATCTTGTTGATGGCTGCTGAGAGTTGGCTATGCCAGTCCTCGACGAGCTCATCCAGTGAGCTGCCAGGGGGGCATCGGATCACGCAGGGCCATTTGGAGCCACACCGGGTCCATTTGGCTCCACGGGCAAGCTAAAATATGCTCACTGCCCAAACAGGGTCAGGGTGGCACATTCATGTGGGCCTTCAGAACATGGTGGTCCGACCATGAAATGGCCGTAGCCGTAACACGGTCCACTGTAACCCCCACCGTGAAGATCAAATTGAGTGTGTGCACTGCTCAGTGAGTAGGGGCCGTAACATATTGGGAGAGTCATAGTGTCACCATGGACAACACCAGATCCATTGCCTGCATGGAGGTTGCGTCATCAGCATGGACATTGAAGTCACCCAGGACTAACAGTCTAGGGTGCTCCAGTGCCCAGCCTGATACGGCCTCCAGCAGGGATGGCAGGCTGCTTGCCGGTGCGTTAGGCAGATGGTACACCAACCAAACAGCCAAACTCTCCCCGGCTTTCCATAGAAAGCCAGCACACTCTGTGCCCGTGAGCTTCAGCGGCGGAAGCACTCTGAAGATGTAAGCCTCCTGGATGAACAGAGCCACTCCTCCCCCCCACCCCTTAGTCCGAGATTGCTGGAGGACCAAGAATCTAGGGGGAGTTAACTGGGAGTTACAGTCTCCCCATCTCGTACCCAGGTCTCGGTCATGCATGCCAGATCCATATCCTGTTCTGCCAAGAAGTCACGGTCTTATTATTTATGGGCCTGTCATTGCACAACACCAATGTCGAAGAGGGGTCAATAATCCTAGCCCCACTACCTACTATCCTCGGGATGGAGCGCAGGCTAGCCCTTCTACATCTCCGTTCCCTTCGCTTCCAATATATAGTGTTCTTATTATACCCTTAATGCCACTCCCTCAAACAAGAGAGCATGTCCTAGTGGAGGACTGACATGTTTGATATCCAACAAGCTCATGCTTGTTGTCAGTTTCTCCTTCAGATACAGAGAGAACCAAGGGTACCAGGGTCTTACCTCTTAGATGTAGTGAAGAGATCTTTGGTATCTGAGGCAGCTCCTCTCAAACCAGTAATAAGTTCTATGTCTTAGGAGAAACTGGGACCACAGCAATCTCTTCGGTGATATGCTTCTTAGGAACATGCCTTTGTGCTTAGACCTATATGTGGCCTGGTTCTGGTTCTGAATGGCTATGTGGAGACTGGTGTTTGAGAATCCTTGGTACCATGGCTGGCAATGGCTCCAAACCTTGTAACTGATGAGGCCAGGTTCATCTCTCTGAAGGTGGAGACATCAAGGGGGTGACTTTCTCAGGAATCGTAACATCTCTCATGAGTGCTTTTTCCCAAGGTGCCAGGCTGGAGATTGCTTCTTGCCTTTGGTGTAAATTGTTTACAGAAAGGGCATCTAGTGGTATTGAGGCCCTCACCAAGGAACAAGACATGGAGTGATCATATGCTTGTGCCATTTCCCCCTCATGTTGGTAGTTTCTTTAGAAGTGCTGTCATATGTAGAAAACCTGAGGTAATCTCCAAAAGCTAGAATTGAAAGAAAACAGGGTTGTTCTTATCTGTAACTGCTGTTCATCGAGTGTCTTCTGTGCAGACACACGTCGGGACTGAATCCATGCAGGACTCCCACGAAAAAAAAATCTGTTTCCAAGCTAAAAAGTAATCTAGAAGGCACTCCTTCTCCCTCCCACCATTGTGAGCCATCCTTTTCCAGCCCAAAGATGGTTGCATGGTCTAAGGAAGGGGAACCCACTCACCTCAGTTCTGCCTGAGCTGCCATAAGCACCAGAAGAAAAAATTCCTCCAAGAACCCCCAGCAGGGTAGATGGGGGGGAATGTGTGCCTACACAGAAGACACTTGATAAACAGTCTTCTGTGCAGTCCCTCATTAGGATGCTACCAAGCTGACAACTTAGGAAGTGGGATGAGGTTCTCACCTTAAGAGTTACTGGAACAAGAAGTTTATTATTTATTTATTATTTTAGATTTGTATCCCGCCTAGCCGGGGCGGGATGGCCTTGTCAACCTCTGATTCCCTTTTTGCCTGTAGATTCAATTCATAGTGCTTTGTGAATGTCTTCGAAGAGGACCAGGTAGCCAACCTGCAGATCTCTAGCAATGGGACATCTTGTAGCATTGCAGCAGAGGCAGCTTGTGCCCTAGTGGAATGAGCTTGAATATGCAGAGGGGAAGGCAACCCTGCCAGTTTGTAATATCTCTGGACAGCAGAAACAATTCATCTAGACAATGTCTGAGAGGTAACTGGTTTACCGTTGTGGCACCCAGT